TAAAGTTATATTTTTCTGAAACTACATTCAGTTTTCTTTTTAACTTTTATTTTTTCAGGATTTTTGGAATGTGTTTAGTATTTTTAAAATGTGTTTTTTAAAGGCTAGTATTCAGGGGAGGTGGGTTCTTTCCCCTTGCTTAGGATCTAGGAATGGACTTCCCGTCCAGGCCCTTAGGGTGTAATGTGTTAAAAAAAAAATATATCCCAAAATGAGGAACTTGTGTTGAAACCTTAAGAATTGGCATGTGCCATCACAATAAAAAGTGCAAAACCTATAAACATGATTGAACTCTTACCTTGGTGACCTTTTTCTGGGCGTCCTTCAACTTCTGCTTTTCCTTGAAAGCTCTGAAAGAGAAAAAAATAAAATTGATTACACAGGCATATATACTATTTAGATATCAAAAGCTAAACAATTCTTACCCCCACCCCCATTATTTTTTTGAGAAAAAAAAACACATTCATCATGGCGTGCACTTCACATTTTACCATTGGTGATACCGATCAGCTTTAAGTTTTGCAGCAGCCAGATTGTAAGTCTTCACCATGAACTGCTTGACAGGGTTGTAATCCATTGAGCAGAAATCCTTTGCAGTACAAAACTGGAGGACAGTACTTTTTAAAAGAGTACACCAGAGATGCCAACCATAGAAAACCGAAATGAGTATTGGGAAATATGAAAATGTGTATTCCCCACCACAGACAGGCCAACAAGTAAAATGTTCAGGGTGTCCAGCAATATTTCCTTTAAAATTTTTACTAGCTCACAATTTCTTAGATCAGCAAAAATATCCAGAAATACAGAAAAAACATTTCGCCTCCAAAACAATTGCAGAAATCTCAGCACTTGCTAGGAGTGACAGATCCACAATAACTCAATTTATATGACTTAGTGGCAGTCGCATTACTCATATGCAACATTACCTGATGGCCTGCTCTCTCTGTGCCTTACGCACTTCAGGCTTCTGGTTCCTCTTGGCCATGATGTCACTGAGGGTGGCACCAGTGATGGCACGAGTGAACTTTTGGGTACGCCTGGTTCTCCTCTTCACCTGTTCCTCAATCTGACCCTTCTTGTGCTTCCTTCTGTACAGCACAGTCCAGTTGATATTTCTGGGGTTGCGCTTCATGGTGTGTGAGCGCTCACACTTGTGGCTCAGGAAGTTGAAGACCTAGACGAAAAAACACTACAATGAATGTTAAATTAACAGGCGCGCGACGTAAAATAAATACGTGGGCTAGGAGAGCTTGACTTGACACTTCAGGATTAATAAAATAATAATGGTAAAACACACAGGCAGGCGCACGCAGAGGGAATATACATGGATACCCCTGAAAATAAGTCAGCTTGGCAGTGACCCGGGTGATTTGTCGTTGATCCCGATTTGTTTCACCTAGTCCCAATTTTTTTCCCCCCAACTGAGATCCTGACTTTATTTTAGATTTTCTAGTGCTCCCAACAGCTGAAGCTGAAAAGTAAGGAAAACTGTGCCAGGGGTCTGGCGAAGCTCCCGAAGAAATTGAAATTTAGTGCTCTTAGAGGGTTAGAAATGGCATTTGGGAGCCTGTTTGAAGAGATTGCCTACAACCCATAACATTTATTTGTTCGCCAACATTTTGTCTCAGTGGGTCAGGGGATTATAAATAGACCCACTGCTTTGTCTGCAGGAGATGCAACTCCTTCAAAGGCGAGATGTCGCACATGGACCCCAACCCCCTGGAATCCGGAAGCGACACCTACTTTGGTGTATCTACCTCTTCTCTTTCCTTCTTTCTTTTTCTATCTTTTCTCCCACCCCCGACCTCATGTGCAGCAAAATGAGAGATCACCCATCCCACAGAGTGGGCGCCTCGTTGACCGTAAGGTGCGACCTGTGCGGAGGGAAACCGGGCACCTGGCGGTTGAGGTGAGATCAGTCTACGGACTGTCCCTCGCCAACACACCTCTTTGGCCCAGGTTTTCCTGTTAGACAGGAGGGTGGCACGGCCCATGCCACTCAATCTGTTGGGAGCCGAAACACTGGGTCAATCTTGAGGGCCTTGCACTCTTGGAAAGAATATAACTCCGGGGTAGCCCTGGCACAGCCCTGACTATCCCAGCAATGTGCCCCCTTGTTGGGCTCGATGGCGGGTGGGGAGCCCCGGAGCTGAACCAACCTCACACTCTCTATGGATTAAAAAAACAATAAAGACCCTTCCCAAGCTCCCAACGGTAAGAAGTCTCGGTTCACAAAAGCAGGTGCGGCCGCCTGACCGAGCAAACCATCAGTCACTACAGGAAGAAAAAGAAAGTGAACGACAGCGAGATTTATAGTGAGAGAGGGTGTTCACGGTTGCACCTGAAAGAGAAAGAGCACATTGTCTGTTTATCATATACCACAGTAAAGTGTGATTCTGTGACACTTGTGGATATTTGTTACAATGTCGCTGTTCTGGTATAGTCACCAAAAATGTCCTTTGTGGATGACTAGTTTGTTTTATCTGATCTTACCCTAAGGTGCGCGACAAGTATCCTGTCACCCCAAAGTCCAAGACCATCCTCAAGACGGAGGAAGAAAACAAGTTGGAAGAGTAGCTGACAGTTTCAGCCAGGCACGGCGTGGGGAGGACCATTGCGGATCTCTGCCTTGTTGTGCAAAGAATCCTCAATAGTGAGGGCAGAATGACTATATTCAAAGGTCTTTACTTTGTACTTTTAACGTAGTCTTCATCATAAAGTTGCCTGCGTCTGTGGCACAACTGCTTGGCGCTTCGCTTTTTCCCGCAGAGGAGGAGGGTTCGATGCCCACATAGGGCGAATTTTTCTCGTTTTTTTACTGGGACGTTGAGTCCCTCACAGTAGGTACCAGAAACTAAATTTTCAAAGTAGCTGTAAGCCAAATTTATCAGTTCCATTTGAAAGGCCTATATCCACTGAGCATTTTGGTACCATTCTTTAACCTCTCAGTCAATTTTTAAGAAAATGGTAGTTGTTTAAAATTTGATCAAATTTGTTAAAGTTAGTCACCAGGGTTGGGTTGATTTAAATCAGTTGATTTTTAAAAATTTAAATCACTTAAAAAAAAAAAAAATTTTATTCGGTTTTTACACATTTCAACATTCAGAATTCCTTCCCTTGGTTTCATAAAACAGATATAAGGTTCAGTAGACTAATATAATCATGCTTAAAAGTCTGATTTCCCCCCTTTCACTGTAAAATAATACAGTATACAATTTACTTTTTTTTTTTTCAATAATTGAAACCAGAGCTGGGTTGATTTAAATCAGTTGATTTTCTAAAAATTTTAATCAATTTGATTTTAAAAATAAAAACCAGTGATTTAAATCACTTTTCAAAAAAATGTATTCAGTTTTTACATATTTATACTTTCAGAATTCCATTCCTTGGTTTTATTTTAAACGGATATAAGGTTTAGTAGACTAATATAATCATGCTTAAAAGTCTGCTTCCCCCCCTGTCACTGTAAAATAATACAGTTCTCAATTTACTTTTTTTTTCATAATTGAAAACTAGGGTTGGGTTGATTTAAATAGGGTCGAATTAAATCAGTTGATTTGTTAAAATTTAAATCAACTTGATTTTAAAAATAAAATTCAGTGATTTAAATCACTTTAAAAAAATGTTTTGTTTTTACATCTTTAAACATTCAGAATTCCTTTCCTGGGTATTATAAAACAGATATAAGGTTTAGTAGACTAAAATTGCTTAAAAGTCTGCTTCCCCCCCCCTGTCACGGTAAGTAGTAAAATAATACAGTATCAATTCACTTTTTTTTTCAATTGAAATTAGCATTTTCTTTTTCTTTTTAGACAAACACAAGGGCGTGCTCACACACACACACTGTAATAAAAATAAAATGCAAGTTTATCTATGCATAATTACCCCCCCCCCTTCCTTTTAGACGGACATTTTCTTCATTTTTTGTCTATAGCCATAATTCACTGACAGCAGATTAAGGCTTTCTAAAATTGCAGTTGTTTAAATTGATCATTAGTTAAAATAAAGACAATGCATTTTGCACTAAAAGAACATACTTTTAGCCACCAAAAATCCCAAACTGTGTCGACATTAAAAATAAAAAAAAAAAAAATCTGATTTAAATTTTAAAAAATCGATTTTTTTTATTTTTATAAAAAAATCACCAACCCTGTTAGTCACTGGCTGCAACCCCATGTTTGACAGACAATAAAAGAGTACCAAGAGCACTAAACATCACATTAACAGAGTACAATCACTATAACAAATATATGGAGCCTAATTTTTTTAAAGACTGAGATCATTACAAATCAGTATTTTATCGCCTCAAACACGATGATCTGTCGTTATTTTGACAAAAACACTGAGTGTTGACCCCGCTGGCGCCGCACAGAGCAAGTCGGCTCTATACTGTAGTGTACCCCGCGTGCGGGGTCACATGCTTTGTGGGTCTCGCGGAAGGATTGATGAAAAATAATTTCAAGCTGATTACTTAATTCTAATAGGAAATAAGCTGATCTTTTATTAAATATATTTTTAAAGCTGGTATTTTACATATTATGTGTAAAAAGTGATCTTTAAACATTTTGACAGTATTTTAAAAAGCTTTCTATTAGACGCCAAAGGCCAAATACATACCACGGGAAAGCCCGTTAAAGCTCTACTGTTCTCCGCCAATGAAAAGACAGTAATTAATCATCCCTCGTTCCGCGAAGCATTTGAATGCACGCGTGTCAATTTTTCAACCGGCCGACCACGAGGGGCTTCGTTTTCGTCGGCGATTCTCCAGCTCCCTCTAATCGGACATAAAAACAACTTACACCATTGTAACGAGGAAAAGCTGAACTTTTACAAGGTGTACGGCATTTGGTGTTTTATAGCGAAAGAGCAAAGAAACAGCGATCGGAATTACCCCGATACCACGCGTGCCCGCGTTTACGCTACCTACTCACAGCCTGGGTTTGCCCTGACAAGTAGGGCTGAAGCCCGCCTCCTAACTTATTTTTATGGTGTCGATGGTATAAAACTTCTACAAGGTCCTGTAAGCCTTTGCCTGATCAATTCCATCGCATCATTTGAACAAGTTCAAGATCACAAATGTCAGGACAAACAGATTTTTTGTGATTGTTGTCAATTAACAGAATGCTTGGTTCATTACTATTGAGAGACTGGTAACGATATTATCCATAACTTTCACAGATAACCTGCCGGGGAGAAGCTGAGTGCGCACTTTCTTCGAGCGCCATCCTAAGCTCCGACAGAAAAAAGCCATGGTTCTTGGCGACCAGAGGGCGAGGGTGACGGAGGAAAAGATCCGGGCGTGGTTCGAGGAGGTGGAGAGGAATCTGTCCGAAGGTGGGGCGGACATCAAGACCATCCACCCCCGATGCGTCTTCAACGCCGACGAGACCAGCTTCCCCCTCCACTGCCCTGGACAGGCCATCATGACAGACGAGGGCAACCGTCACCCTTACCTCATCGGCAGATCACTGTCCTCAGCCAGTGGTCTCCTCTTGGTCCCCCCCAGTCATCTTTCCCTGTCAGCGCTGGACCTTCAAGCCATGGGAAGATTTCCCTGAGGCTTCAAGCGTCCAGACATCCAACTGCTGGATTAACACCACGGTGTTCCAAGACATGGCTGGCGGAAACCTTTATACCAGCGGTGGCTGACCTTCCTCCTCGGCCCATCGTTCTTTTCTGCGACGGGCACACCAGCCACACAAGCCTGGAGGTTCATGACCTCTGCAAAGAGCACGGTATTGTCTACTACCTGCTTCCTGCACATGCGTCACACCTCGTGCAGCCCCTGGACATGCTCTTTTATGGAGTCCTGAAAGAGAAGGGGAGAAAGGGGCTGCACAACCACAGGAACATCGCCTGAGTGGGAGGAATCAACCCGAGGACCTTTATGCCCGTGTTCAAGGACGTTTGGACACGGGCATATGGGGAAGGCAGTGCTGGTGAAGGCATTCAGGAAAAGTGGCCTGTCTCCATGGGAGCCTAATGCCCCTGACTGTGAGGCCAGCAAGGTCTACGAGAAGCCAGCAGCCCGTCTCCACAAGTTGTGATGAGGTTCCTCCATCTGTTTTGTTTTGGTTAGTGTCTTATGGCGCTCGCAACTGCATAAGGTCACATGAGCGCGCAGGACACACCTAATATTTTAAGTTGGTAGGAAATCTTGAATTTTGCCCGGGT